TGCAGCCGACGCACGGAGTCGGACCCGCTGAGCACTCGCCGGTAGATCGGCCGGCCGGCGCCGGACATCGACAAGCCGGGCTTGGACGAGCGGGTCGAGTAGCTCGAATCAATCTAGAAGAAACTGCAGGAGATGTCTTAATTTCCTCATCATGCAGTGACCGCCAAGCAAAGGAACACAGCGAACTTAAAACCCTCAACACCTACAAAAGAAGCATATGTTGGGTGCTCGCATGGGGGCCAATTTGCCGCCCACAGTTTTTCCAAATTAGCTTTGAACAGCGTGTCGCAGCCGCCGCCAAATTTTTTATTGCATGTAGGAAGCTCAATAGGACGTTCGTTCCGTATGCAACAATAAATGTACCTTGTAAAGTCGCTGAATTGAGGCAGATCAAAATCCGGCTTTGGCTGTCAGAGAAGCTAATTCCTAGGGCATTGCTCCACTTCGATGCAAAACAGAGTGTTAGGAGAAACCAGACATTTTCAGCTAATTTCTTCGACAAAAGACAGTTGATTTTAGGCTAACAACCAACCCCATTGACTATAAAGTCAGCTATGAAGATGAGATCGAGACAAAAAACAGATTGCTCTTATACTGTATAGCGTGCCTTAATACATCGTTTTTGACGGTCGTTTCCAATCTACTGATTATGGAACCGTCAACAGACATCTAATTGAGCTTTATAAGGGTCAGAAAAGGCCACCGACTTGGATAGCACCAATGCATCTTATGTGTTTAGGTACATACCATCCAGCGTAGTCATTGTCGCCTATTTCAGTTCAAATATTAAATGAGTCTCGAAGATTTCTGGTTGCCTTGTCTTTATGAAGATTAAACAAGGTCACACCTAAAATGAACACCAGCGTCCGTTCGCTTAGAAGAGGTATATCGCTTAGAGGTACTTAAGTGGTGCATGAGAAAGTCGGAGGGCACTTCGGATATTAGTCTGGAGTAAGCCTTGATTGACCTTATTTAACCCGAATGCCATGATTTAGGAATCTTTATAGAACTTCATAGAAGTGGATGACATACAGAGGCTACCTGCCCCGTGAATTTGGTGTTCCTAGCTCTCCTTACTATTTGAGATCTAAAGGGGCTAAATTGACCCCCTACAAACTTGTGGGGCCCACGGGCGCGCCGCATTCAACCGCGCGTGCGAGCGCTTATTAAATATGATGCGAAAGGTCAGCCTGAGCGATGCTAGGTCCTGTGCGCAAAACTGCCCCAATCACCATGAAATCATCAAAACCGTAGCCGTGATTAGAAAAACAGTAGCCATGATTAGAAAACGGTGGCGTGTACAGCAAAATGCTTCATAAGCATCAGAGCCAGTGCATTCGTTTGTTGAAGTCCAGTATCAAGCACTTAATCGCACTGAGAATGGACTGTGAACGCTCAAGAGAATCGTACGGTATACTGTATACAATTTGAAAAGACTGACAAATCCTATCTGAGTTTGAAAAGACTGACAAATCCCATCTGAATTACTTGCTACCCTTTTCATTCGAAGGGAAGATGGTATGCACAGAATACAACAAAAAGTGTAGCCAATAGACCTGTTTCGTACTACTTAAAACGCCGTTCGGACCCAGCAGTGGTTAAAATGTGGGCAAGGTTCACAAAATATATAATCACTGTTTGGATCACAGATTCCTGTGAACTACAAAACAGGCGTTTTGGTAATCAAAATGGTTTATACCATATTTTACTGGTCATTGTTTGCAATGGGAGATATTCCTCTCACCACGGTTGCAACTTTAACTGCGATCATTTTCTACGAAGAGCATCTTCACCTTTTATTTGGCCATTACACTTGCATCATAACGTCTTACCAACGATGAACTCCAATACAACTGCCAGTCAGTCGTCGATATTTACTTCGCAGATCAAGAAGGTCATCTGCATAAGGTCAGGTTTTATAGCTTGAACTCACATTGCCCGTCTTCTAAATGTTTTGTAGGACACGAGTTACGGCGGTATCGAGATAGAGTCTGTTCTCTGCATACAAAGATTGGAGAAGCGGCCAGTATTTACAATGACACTATTGCAGATGACATAAGGATGCAAAAACTAATGTGAATGACACGCGAAAAATGGCCTTGATGGCCATTGGCTTTTGGCCACATCAGTGAGTTCTACCACACCACCATCAAAGCGCCGCCGTCACGTGTCAAACGAGCACGTCCCTGTCACCATGGTGCGCCACTTCCGCCGCGGGCGCGAACTCACCTAGCGCCAGCGGCTGTTGCTTGAAACAGGTGATGATCGGGCCGACCAGTACACCCACGCTCAGCTGCAGGCCGTGCACCAGCACGTTGACGAGCGCGTGGCAGAGTACCACCACCCATCCCCAGTCGCCCTCCAAGTAGTAATGCTGGGCCATGGTGGCCGTGACCACGCGGCGACCGGCCTGCGCGCTGGCCGGGCGCGCCGCCGTCGCCGCCGCCGCCGCTGGCGCGCCACACTCGCCGCTGACCGGCTCCGAGTCCAGCCCGGAGTCCTGCAGACCGGAGCTGAGTCCACTGCCGCGCCGCTCGACCGGCGGCCGCCCAGCGACGGCAGCGACGCCGAGCGCGCCAAGCGCCCGGCCGCCTCCATCGGCGCCGGCTAGCGGTCCGCCATCGGCGCCGGCGGCCGGCGCGCTCGCGGCGCGGCCGGGGCGGCGCTGGGGCGGCGCTGGATCAGCGCCGGTCGGCGGCCGTCGACGCCAGTGTTCACCGACTCATCATGACGCGGGCGCGTCCGGTCTCGTCCACACGACGCAGTGCGCTTGGCGGCACGCGGCGAAGCAGGTAGTTCTTCCTTCAGGTGCGTTTGCCGACAACACAGCCGCTGCGCTCCCGTTCAGATGGCGCGAGTTCCGTGGATCGGTGGAGACGATAGATGAGAGAAGCCTCCGGTGAAAGGCTCCGAATGGCCTGGCTGAGATCGCAGCGGCAGTGCGGCGTTAGGACCCGATGGGCCCACGGTAGATGTGATGAAAGGGCAAGTTCTAGGATGCAGACACAAAGTCAGGTCAGGGAGTTCACTGCCAGCCGCACATAAAGAGCTTCTCGTTTTGCCGATCACATTCGCGGCAAACGCGCCCGTCGTGGTCCTCACAGCACTGGGCACAGGTGTTTGGTTGGCTCTGAAGGAAAGCGACCTCTCAGCCTCGGACAACCTCCCTCATTAGTCTCAATGATCGCTGCCAAACAGTTGGGCTGTGGAAGATTTATGTTTCAGAAGCATACATCGCTGCTTGGGTTGTTCGCAGGCGTGCATTCAAGTCGGCGGCGAGTGGACCCTCTACGATGCATCGGTTTTGTAAGCGAAGGTTCAGCTTAGATGCCGAGGGTGACTTGCACTCGGCTTTGGCGCCGCGTCTAATGATATGACGGTCAAAAATGACTCCTTGAGTTTGAGTAGAACCCGATTCACGGCACCCAACGGGTGTCATAAGCGTTAGCATCTGTGGCAGTACAATATCACGACTTGGAGCTTAAATCATGGCGTCAGGTAGCTAATGTATAATGTGGGAGAGTACCAGACAGCTGGCACACAAAGCCGATAAACGCCCAGTCTCAGCAGTCGGCCTGGTGCTGTGAATGCCGATACAAGGCTGCAACGCCTGGGCGTCCACTTCCTCCTGGGGGCGAGGCCTCCGGCAGGCGGCCTCTTTGAAGCCGCCGCCTGCCAGCGACGCCCGCGATTGCATTCGCGGCACTTTCACCGCGCACGTCGGGCGCATTCGGCGCGCGCGCGTCATCACCGCGCGGCGTCGCGGCAGGCGGCGGAGCGCGTCCGACCAGGTAACCGGCCGGCCGCCGGCCGCGGCCGCCGCGCCAGCAGGCGGCCGCGGCCAATTTGCCGCCGCGGTCACCGCCGGCTGCCGCGACCGCGAATAAATCAA